TGGAGTCACACCGCAGAATCACACCCACAAAAATTGGAGACAAGCTTTTTGACTTAAAAAAAGGTGTTAAAATTCATGCCCTAAATCAGTTCCACTGAATCTTAAAGCCCTTAGCAGTGTTGGTTGAGGTCATAAGTAGAGACCTCTCCAAGGGTGAGTGTTTTAGTATTGGCAGCAGGCAAGACTCCAGAAGTGGGATATGTTCTCGTTCAGTTTATCAGACCCTGTGTTTTTGGAGATTTATGTGCTGTGACATAGGACAAGGAAGTTGTCTTAATCTTTGGAAGTCCCTGGCCAGTTTGTGCCGCGTTGGAATGTCAGGATTAAAATGCAGAGTCTGAGCTGTGCTAAGATCTGAGCTAGCAGCAGCGCTGTTGACAACATTTTGTTAGTGGCCGAGAACTGGAAGAGGAGAAGTGCTGTTGCTCACGCCATGCAGAGCTGTGCAGGGAGCCCAAGATTGGAATGGCAGGGTGTGTGCTCTTGGTGAAGACTGAGGTGCATTGGCACGTCTGTGTTTTATATGGTGCTTTAGGATATAGGGCCAGATTTCCTCTTGCAATCTGGTCCTTTTACTCTGCTCTGGCAGCAAAAGAGGCTGGAAATTGACCGTATCTTCCCAGCTGATAATTCCCCCCCAGTGTGGAGGAATCCTCAGCTTGCGTGAGAGCAAGCATGGTTGGCTCTTACACTCTACCACTCCTAGGCACAGTGTGGGTCTAAGAGCAGGAGGAGAGAGGACCAGTGCTGGTGCATTCCAGCTATTCTCAGATAGCCCCTTGCGGCCTGTTACCAGCCCTGGGCTGGGAACCAGGAAGATGTAACTGGCTCCTTGGAGGCCCTGCTCTCCCACCCTGCATTTCACAGAAAGTGGGAACAGAAGAGAGGCCCATAGTCTCTGCATACAAATGATCAGGCGCACTGAATCAATATGGAAGACTTCACTCTGTGAGAAACCATCTCTCCCATAGATTTCGTTGGTGGCCCATTTGCCAGATTCTCCATGTGGCTCTAATGGCTACTGGAAATCCAGGTGCTAGCAAGGAGACTACATGGCTATTCCTAAGGATGGCCCACCAACAGCCAGCACTCCAAGCCCCGCACTGTCCTCTAAGCTGAGTCTAGCTCCTGAAAACCAAGTAAGCCAGCCAAACTGCTCCACACTTGATGGCTGCAGAAGCAAGTGCATGAAGCTCAGCAGCACAATGACGAAATGTAAAGAAGAGTCTGAACGTGTATCTAGGGTTCATTGGAATGTGGTAGGAACATTTCTGATGTCAGCAGCACATGCTTGTGCTGTCCTCTGAAGTGCAAAGAACATTCTGCTTCTACAGAAGGACCAACACACATGCTGCGAGAATATAAGTGTAGAGGGTTGTGGTTATGATACTAAATCTGAGATGATCTTTCCAGTGTAACCTCTAATTTTCAATTATGTGTAACTTCCCCACCCACCCACGTCAAATGACCTTTTGGGCTAAAATTTCTCTCACACAGTCTCAATTCATAGGGGAACCTTTGTGTGGAGAAGTTTCATATGTTAGTTCATTTCTTTTTTTTTTTTAATTTTCCAAATGTGTGGAGGGGGATGGAGCAGGCGTTGTGGAAGTCAGGAACGTATCTAATGATGTAGTTATCAAATGAAGGTTTTTCCTTACTGGGAAAGAATTGTTTTTGGCTAGAAATTTAACCAGAAGTCTCTGCCTCTAAGAACAGCCTGGCTGCCTGTCTGCTGATCTAAGGGAGAAGCTGGTTTTCCCTGTCAGCCATAGTTCTATGTGAGGTCTGTAAGCAAAAATGTGATGTCTGACCAACTCCTTTTTCTTGGGAGGGGGATCAGTGCTTGGTACATTCCAGGTTCTTTGCTTTGCTGTGTGTCCATTCTGGGCCTCTCCAACCACCTGGCAGCACTTGGGGAGGGAGACCACAGCCTCCACTGTGCTTCTGACCTTTTGTGGCCTACTTGTTACCCACTCCTGCTGCTGCTGCTGTTTCCAGGGTCAGGGTAAGTTTCTCTTTCAAAGCTGCCAGCCAATAAATGTCTCAACTAATAGCCCCATTCAGGCAATTTTAAATAAAAAGAGGTTTTATTGGCAACTGTACAGAAATGGAGCATGGTGGGTAGGGAGCTAGATTATTTGCTTCCTTTGTGCTGTTGTGGTGTAAGGCTGTGGTAATACAGTGATGAATCAGGTCAAGGGTTGCCAACTGTCTAATCATACAAACCCAAACCCCCTTGCCCTGAGGCCCTGCCCTTGCCCTGCCCCTTCTCCGACACCCTGCCCCCACTTACTCCATCCCCCCTCCCTCCTTTGCTTGATCTCCTGCACCCTCACTCACTTTCACTGGGCTGGGGCAGGGGGTTGGAGGGTGGGGTCGAGGGGTTCAGAGTATGGGAGGGGGCTCTGGGCTGAGCCTGGGGCAGAGGTTTGGGGTGCAGGAGGGTTTGCGGGCTCTGAGAGGGAGTTTGAGTGTGGGAGGAGACTCGGGTGTGGGAGGGGGCTGGGGTAGGGAGTTGGGGTACAGGAGGGGATGCAGGCTTTGGGAAGGAGTTTGGGTTCAGGAAGAGGCTCAGGGTTGGGGCAGGGGCTTGGGGTGCAGGCTCTCGCCAGGCGGTACTGCTGGACTTTTAGCAGCCTAAAATCGCCCAGATTGGTTGAAGTAGCCCCCGGGAGAACGAGCCCAATTCCGGAAGACTCCTGGCCAATCTGGGAGGGTGGCAACCCTAATCAGGTCCTAAATCTCAGGGCATTGAAACTGGTGTTATCTCCATGTCAAGGTGAGTCAGGTGTAAAGAGGTGTCAGTTACACCAATTTAAAGAAGATTTAATTATACCAACTTAAATCCCCTCTAAATTCTTTGTTCACCTCTGAATTCAGCTTGTTAAGCATGCTTTTATGAGCATGAAGCTGGAGATGAGAAATGGTCCTCCCCCAGCAGTGAAGACTCTCACCTTCCTTTTTTTTTTCAGTCTGTGAATACAGAAAGCGGCAAAGTGAGAGAAGAGTGGGAAAATCTGCCATTAAGGCCTGTGGCCAGAAAGCTTTCAGGACAGAACAAATCAGTCCTGCCTCTGTCCTCTAACCCTTAGAAGTGCTGGAGATGGGGAAGATCTAGAACTACCTGAGACACTATGGGATCTCACTTGTACACACTCTCTCTCTCTGAAGCAGTAAAAAATAACTGGCAAAGACATGAGGTTGATTGAATGGCAAAAGCAATCTAGACAAGCAGCCTGCATGGCCATGTCATTCAGCCATTCTGTACTACAGTAGAGTACAGCTGAATGACATAGAATCATAGACTATCAGGGTTGGAAGGGACCTCAGGAGGTCATCTAGTCCAACCCCCTGCTCAAAGCAGGACCAAGCCCCAAGACATGGGCATGCAGATAGCAGACTACAGTTGAAACTCCTTGGCTGTTTTGTTGGCAGCTAGAGTTGGAATATGCTGCTGATAAACTTCAGAGAATGATGATCTATCAGACTCACAAATCCTTTTTCTATCAAGACTTCCTGCAGCAAGAAAATTGGGTCTGCTGATTATTTTATTTCTTAAAAAGTGGCCTGCTCTCTTCCCCCCCCGGAGCATGGTGTCGAGGTGGAGTTGTCTTCCTCATTGCCACTGCTAAATTTGGCACTAAAATAGATCCCAAATAAAACTAACCAGGCACAGGTCAGCCAACGCTCTTTACAGTTATTTTAGAAAGAGACATGGCTGCTGCTATTCCATAGTTTGTTTGTTTGTTTTATGGTGAGCTCTTTAAGGTGGACTGTTCAGTCTTCTATGCTCGGGGTTCTCAATCTTTTTCTTCAGGAGGCCCCCCCAACATGCTAGAAAAACTCCACGGCCCACCTGTGCCACAATCACTGTTTTTCTGCATATAAAAGCCAGGGCCGACGTTAGGGGGGAGCAAGCAGGGCAGTTGCCCAGGGCCCCATGCCACAGGGCCCCCCCACAAAGCTACACTGCTCAGGCTTCAGCTTCAGTCCCAGGTGGCAGGGCTCAAGGCCCCGGGCTTCAGCCCCATGTGGTGGGGCTTCGGCTTTCTGCCCTGAGCCCCAGTGAGTATAATGCTGGCCCTGCCTGGCGGCCCCCCTGAAACCTGGTCATGGCCCCTTAGGGGGCCCTGGATCCCTGACTGAGCACCACTGTTCTTTGCAAAGCCATAACTGTACTGATAGCAAGGGTACTATTGCTTGTAGGAGCAAGGATAGCCTTACAGTGTGTGTGGCCTCAGGCAGAGAAGGTGTCAGGTGGCTGCCTCAAAACACCAAGCCTCCATTCTCACTGTGCTATTTACAGGGGGGACATTGGATTGAGAGTTGCCTCCCCCTTCAGCCCAGTTGCAGCAGGGAAGAGGAAGAGGCTACATCTTCCTGAGTCTATGGAAGATCTTCCTGAAGGGCAGGGCAGTGACCTGCTGGCTTCAGTTTAAGACCAGCCTTTTGTCTGATAGGAATAACCGGAGCAAGGCAATAGCAACATCAGTTATCCGTGTTAGCACTCAGTGCCTGAAGGAGCTCACTGATTCCTTGTAAGGTGGAAACTTTTTGCTTGGTAGGTTAAGTTCCTGGTGACATGGAACTTCATGGTGATCTTTCAAAAGTAATTATCCACACAAGGGAATGAGGAAGGGGCTGTTGCTCAAATCAGTTATCACAGGATTCCCGTAAGCCGCTTCTCAGAGTTTGTGGTCAGGAAGCCTAAATAAGGGCACCTTGGTTAATGAGTAAAGCGGTGTTTGAGTCACCTGCAGTGACAAGTAACCACTGCCTGTTGTTGCTGTAAAGCGTTCTCTGTGTTGTCTTTTCTGAAACATGCTCTCCACGGTTCTGTGGTTTGTGTTGCATCAAGAAGGAGTTCACTCCCCCCACCTGCCCCAAAGCTCTTTCCCTTCGCCCCCGACTCGAACTTTGCGGTGTTTTCACAGCTGCAGTTCGGCAGCCCTGCCAGTCTCCAGAGCAAGCAGTGGCTTTTTTTGTGATTCTCTGGTAGCATGGGTTATCCTCTCCTTGTGGGGCAGCTGCTGTGGCATATGGCTCCTCTCCTACATGTTTCAGGTATAGTTCTAGGAGTTTTCTGTCTTATTATGATTTCTTATAAGTTACTGCAGAGACTTGTGAGTCAGGGATCCTGGGTTCTATTCCTAATTCTACCATTCATTTGCGGGGTGACATTGGGCAAGTGAGTTTTGACCTCTCTCTGCTTTATTGGTTGCTGGTGGCATCTGAAATTGAGTAAGGAAGACAAAGTTAATCAGGAATAGCTATTCTGAAATAACTCCCATGTAGACAAACCCTGATTCACTTAGGTGCTTTGGAAATTTTGGCCCACACTCCATAGATCTGAGTTATCTGTAGTTTTGTTGGCAGACTTATCATTTTCTTGGGTTTGGGTCCCTCTTCTTTTTTCCATCAGCTGCTTTCTTTTTAGTCTTGCTCATTATCGGAATCACAGTAAAACTGTACAGCTACCTTGCTAGCTCTGTCCCAGCCATCTGGTAATATAATTAATGCTAATCGACATGGGCTTATGGAAAATAGGTCTTGTCAATACGAACTTGATATCTTTTTCTGATGAGATTACAAATTTTGTTGATAAAGCTAATAGTACTGATGTAATATACCTAGACTGCTATAAGGCATTTGACTTGATATTGCACGACACTTTGATTAAAAAACTAGAATGATAGAAAATCAACATGGTATACACTAAATGGATTAGAAACTGGGTAACTGAGAGACCTTAAAATGTAATTTTAGAAGGTGTGTTGTGGGTTTTTTTGTTTTGTTTTGTTTAATGGGGTCCTGCTGGTATAGGTTTTTGGCCATCTGCTATTTAACATTTTTATCAAAGATTTGAAGTAAACATAATCATTACTGGTAAAGTTTGCAGATGACAAAGATTGGGGGAATTGTATTTAATGAAGAGGACAGGTCATTGATACTGAGTAATCTAGATTGTTTGGTAAACTGAATGCAAGCAAACAATATGCATTTTAGTACAGCTGAATGCAGGCTATACTTAACTTTTCTATTGTTGTTATTAATAGCACCTTTCATCCAAAGATCTTAGTGCTGGATGAAAATTTTCTCACAAAACTTTTATTTTTTTTTGGCCAAAAAAATGCACATTTGGGCTGACCAATACAATGCATGAATTCAGGTCAATTTTGGACAATTGTGTTGGTTTAAAAAAAATCAGAAATGTTGAAATGGTTCATTTTGGCATTTCCAAAACAAAATATCTTTCCAAAGTAAAAAGTCAAAATGTTTTTATTTTGGATTTTTTGGAACACTTTTGTTTTGGGTTGGCCCAAAAAGAATTTTTGTTTTTTCAGACCTGAAAATTCAGTTATTTGGCCATCCTTAGTGTCAAAGCACTTTATACATTGACAATTTAAACCGTGCAGTAACTCAGTTAGAGATGCATTACTATCCTTGGTTTACAGATGGAGAAACTGTGGCATGAGGCAGTTAGGTGACTTACCTGAAGCCACACAGAGAGTCAGTAGTAGAGCCAGGAACAGAGTCCGGGAGCCATTACTTGGTTCTTTTGCTCTGGCCACAATGCCTGAACCAATCTAAATGAATGAGTGACTGCACAACTGGATTTTGCATCTGTTTCCAGGTTTTAAGTCCAGTGAAATTGTGAGGACAGGAAGGGATATTGGGCATGGGGGGGGTGTGTGTGAAATTAGTTCTGGGAACATAAACTAGTGGTATGAATCAACTTTTTATTTATTTATTTATTTTAAAATCAAACACACTTGTACACTCAAGAGACTTTCATCCTATAGAAGTTGCCCTAGCAGATCAAACTATGGGTCATCTACATCAGTATCATTTCACCAGCAGGATTCTGTACATAGTGCTTCAAAGATAAGAGTAAACTGCCCACAGTTCCTTCCTCCCCACCCCACAAAAAAACCCCAAACAGTCAATCAAATAAATAAACAAAAACCCAATTCTCCAAAAAACTGTTGTTGATATCTTTCCAAACCTTCTGAAACCAAATAATATTTCAAATCTGGCTTTTCCCAAATTCCAGGCCAAAGGAGGTTTGATCATTTAAATGAGTTTGAGATAAGTACCTGGACATTTGAGTGCTAATCTGAAACTTTTGGGATGTTTGCTTATGGCAGTTGCATACAGCTATATAAGCGTCTCTCTCAGTCCTCCCTGACCTGGAGAAAATCCTTCCTCAGCAATTTGGTCTTCTACTACCACTCAATCTTGGGCTTCCATACATTGCTCCACCAAGAGATCTGAGCCCTCCCTTTCTGGGACCATCTTCTCTTAGGATAAGAGAAGAATGTGATGTTGCACTCCATATGTTTTATGGAAATATGCTTATGAGTGTAAATATGATGTAACTGGAATATGCTTTATGCAAATGGTCTCTTGTAAGGTATCATAACAAAGGTTATAAACTACTGAACATATTCCTCCTATTTGTATGCATGTATCATTCTTGTATCTGAAACTAGAAATATGAAGTATAACTCTGAGGTCCTATTGTAATTATGCAAAGTGTGGGCCATTAATCGTGGTTTAAAATCTTGATGGCTCCCATTGACTAGGACAATTGGTTGTAAATGGTTTATTTACCCGCAAAACTTCCTGTGTACCTGTGGGCCAACCCAGAAAGAATGGAGACTAGGGGTCTTACACTGACATGTGACCATGTCACATGATACTGGAATCCATCTTAATCCTTGTACTTTTCCATTGATGAGGCGGGGGTGGGGACAAGCACAGACAAAAGATTCCTGCCTTGTGCCAAAGCTATAAAAGGGGATGGAGCAGGACAAAAGGGGCTGCCAGTCATGAGAAGACCCCTGCTTACCACCTGAGATGTCTGCTGGAACTAACAAGGACTGTACCAGGGGAAAGGATTGAGCCCAGACTAGGAAGGCATCTAGTCTGTGAAAGAAGCTTATTGGAACATCTTGAGGGTGAGATATTACCTGTAATCAGTTTCTTAATGTATTAGGCTTAGATTTGCGTGTTCTTGCTTTATTTTGCTTGGTTACTTACTTTGTTCTTGCTGTTATTACTTGAAACCACTTAAATCCTACTTTTTATACTTAATAAAATCACTTTTGTTTATTAATAAACACAGAGCAAGTGATTATTACCTGGGGAGAGCAAACAGCTGTGCATATCTCTCTATCATTGATATAGAGGGCGAACAATTTTTTGAATTTACCCTGTATAAGCTTTATACAGAGTAAAATGGATTTATTTGGGGTTTGGATCCCATTGGGAGCTGTGTGTCTGGGTGCTGGAGACAGGTAACCTGCTGCACTGTTTTTAGTTAAAGTCTGCAGCTTTGGGGGCATGGCCCAGATCCTGGGTCTGTGTTGCAGCAGGCTAGTGTGTCTGGCTCAACAAGGCAGTGTTCTGGAGTCCCAAGATGGCAGGGAAAACAGGCTCAGAGGTAATTTCAGCACATCAGGTGACAGTCCCAAGAGGATCTCTGTGACCGAACCCATCACAAAGAATTCCCTTTCTTCTCAGATATACTGGTAGTTCTTCCCTGTTTGGTTTTTGCTTGTTTTATCTGATTTCAGTGACTGCAGTGGAGTGGGAATTTAGGTAATCAAACAAACTTTTTCTCTCACAAGCTGCCTGGGAGCCCTACACTGCATCACTCTCATGACTGCACTTTGGTTTGCTGTCTTCCAGGGGACACAACTGAAAAAATTCTAACAGCTGGGAACGTTTCTGCAGTTGAAAACAGCAACATCACCCTGCGGTGTTCTCTCTCTTTGACCAATGCCATTGTGTCGCAGGTGAACTGGAACAGGTGTAACAAGGTCACGCTTGCAGTTTATCTAAACAAAGAGAAAGGCATAGTCCAGCCGGTGTTCACTGAGAAGGTATCACTGGCAGCAGAGTACGGGATAACAATCCACTTATTAGGTGTCAATGACACTGGAGATTACTGTTGTGAATTTCACACCTTCCCTTATGGGATATATGAAGGGAGAATGTTCCTGGAACTGGCAGGTGAGCCAACAAAACTACAGATAACTCAGATATATGGAATGTGGGTAAAATTTTCCAAAGCACCTAAGTGACTCAAGGTTTGTCTACATGGGTGTTATTTCAGAATAGCTATTCCTGATTAACTCCATGTTAATCAAAGGGAACAAGGCACTTTTTGGAAGCGGATTAAGCTAATTCATAATAAAATACTCTTCTTCCAGAATAAGGGCTTGTCTACACTGGCAACGTTAAAGTGCAGCCATGGCCACGCTTTAACGTGGCTTGTGTAGTCGCGGCACAGCGCTGGGAGAGAGCTCTCCCGGTGCTCTAAAATACCCACTTCAACAAGGGAGCACGTCTCTCAGCGCTGGTGCACTGTCTACACCAGCACTTTGCAGTGCTGAAACTTGCAGCACTCGGGGGTGTTTTTTCACACCCCTAAGCGAGAAAGGTGCAGTGCTGTAAAGTGCCAGTGTAGACAAACCCTAATAGTAGCCACACATGGAGTTAATCAGGAATAGCGAAACTGCTTTAAATTCACATCCTATCTTATTCTGGATTAATTTTTATATGTAGACAAGCCTGTAGGAGAAGAGCTGCATGAATAACTGATTTTTTCAGTTTGTGGGCTGTACTGAAAAACCAAAAAACATTAAAAAATAGAAAAAGTTGATGAACCAAAAAGTCGAAAATGAATTTGTTTTAGGTTGAATGAAACTTTTTGTTTGACTGAAAATGATTGTGAGGATTGTTAACGTTTAAAAAAATAAAATTGAAGTAAATTTTGAAACAAAAAAATGCTTCGAATAAAATATTGAAACATTTTGTCTTGACAGTTCAAAATGAATTTTTTTGATTGATACAATTTTTTAATATGACTTCTTGAAATGTTTCAGTTGACTCAAATCTACTTTTTTTTGGTGAAAAAAGTTCTAGCTGAAAAATGTCACCCTTTTCTATTTAGGAGCCTAGGAGTGGTGTTTTAGGCACTTTTGAAAATTTACCCCTTTAGGAACCTTTAGCAAGTTTATTTTGCAATTGAAGAATTAGCATCATCCAAAATACCCTCATCCTTTCCCTAGAGTAGATTCATTTTATGGGTGATATGGCCAAAATTATTATTTTTAACATTTATCTTTTGCCTCTGTTACTAGTAAATTATATTGTTAAAGCTGAAAGGTTTTAAGATCTAATTTACTTTTAATCAATTCTGTCATTTTGGTACTGTTTGTTTACATTTTGCTCTTCTCGCTTAGCTTGGACAATAAAGCTAGATTGGCCAATGTCACTTTCTGTTTGTGGTCAATTTCACTTGCCATTTCTCCTTTCACTAGCTCAGTGCTCTGCCGGATCTATTTACTTGAATTACAAAAGTAAGGATGGTCTAGTGATTGGTAGAGATGACTGCATTTAGAGGGACAGAGAAAGGAAGTGATCTGCCCCTGATTTGGTTTGGGGATTTGGCTCTAATAATACTTAACATACAGGGAGTTTGAAGGCTAATTAGGGCCAAATTCTGTCCTTAATAGAAGGGTATAATTCTCATTGTAGGGGCCTGCTGCTGCTGAGGGGAGAGAGGAAAGCATACAGCGGCTGGTGGGGGTGTTACCTGGGGTTTTCAGAACCTCCAGCAGGGGCAACATAACTATTTCACTCTCGGTGGGCCAGGAATAAATCATAGGAACACAACAATTCTGTCTGATAAAGGATAGTGAGCATGCTCTTGTCCAACACTGCAGTGTATTAGATTTAAGCACACGCAGACAGGAGCAATAGGTTGAGAACATCCCAGATATTTATCTACTGTCTGAAACAGTATTGATTGCTTAACAGCAGGTTCACAGTGGCCAGCTGCTCACCTGCTGGGGAGAAAGGGTGTCAGGGAAAATGTCTCTCAAGATGGCTTCAGAGGACGGCTCCAAAGCACATTATATTAGCTGATCTTTTATAACTAAGGTCTGCAAAACACAGGTCACAATGACCCCTACTGGAGGGGTCATTTGGGGGGAGGGTTAGCTCAGTGGTTTGAGGGGGCCATTTAGGGATCTGGGGCAAAATTTGGGGATTGGTCCTGCTTTGAGCAGGGGGTTGGACTAGATGACCTTCTGAGGTCCCTTCCAACCCTGATATTCTATGATTCTATGATCACTTTTCTAATTTTCAATACACTTTTAATATCAGAGGCATCTAGATTCAAGGTTTTCCAGCCACCAAGGTTTTCAGTCTCAGTTGACTTGTCTGTCCCCTCCTCCCATTTGATTAGCAGAAACTGTAGCTAGTTTTGACTCTGCTTCTGAAAGCCTGTCTCAAAACTAACCCTTAACTGTGTGGTGGGTCTGTTTTATTAATTCAGGATGGTTGAATGCACATAATATGGTTGCAATTAGCTTGATCACATTCTGGGATATACACACCCCTCAAATCCAGGGCAACAGGGACCAGAGGGTGAGGCACTTGTTGAGACCAAGGAATATCACTTACAATTCCTTAGAGCTAGAAGTCCGAATTCCGGGGCGGTAACTGCCAGAATCACTCTTCTTTTTTTTTTAGCAGATTGGTACCATGTTTGCCTCCTTTTCCCATCCTGCTCTCCCCACCCAGTTTTTTGGTATCCAGTTCTCCAGGGCTTTCCAAAAACAATTGTCACCTGGTGGTAACCTACCGAAGTGAGATTTGAAAAAAGAATTGTTTTGGTGACAGTTGGACAGGTTGTTTTTGTGTTTTACTGAAGGTTGGCGTTATAGTCCAGGTTTATTTCAGGTAGTTCACTACAGGCTGACTCTGCAGTGGAATGAGTGCTTCTCCTAGGAGTTGCTGAGCACAGTCAGCGTAGGATGGGGCTCCCCATTGAAGTGTTGGTGTACATGTGTGCCCGTGATCTCTGCTGGAGTAAGGAAGGCTTGTTGGTACAGTTGTCAGCAGTTCCTCTTCTCCTGGAGATGCTCTGCTTACTCAGAAACGGAAACTGACTTGGGCTGCAGGATTCAATGTCCTGAGCTGGATACAGCATATCTTTGAGTTATATTATGCATGAAATAATTAAACAGGGTGGTCTCCATGGGGCATTTATAGTCACCAGGTTACCCCCCAACATTGTTTAAGATGAAACCAGTTGGACGAAGATCCAGACTGTCCTGAGGAAGAAGGAGGTAGAGTGCCCTCCTATCAGGGTTTCATTGTCAAGCATGGACATGTGGGGCCTGATTCTGATTTCATTAAAACAACCGTAATTATGGAGTAACTCTCATGAAGTCAATGGTGTTACACAGGTGTAAAAAAAGTGTGAGATTAGCATCAGGCCTGAGGAGCACGGCTGTAGCTTTGTACCCACTTCTGCATGCCTTTGGTGAGTGTGACCAAGGGTGTTTTTAATGCCAAACTCACATTTCTCTTCACTTAATTTCAGGAGCATCAGAGGAGATGACCCTTTGGAAGAACCTTCCATACATAATAATCAGCCTGATATTGGGAGTTCTGCTCCTCACGTGTTTCATAGTCTGGATCCTTAGGAGAAAGGTAACCGGAAGATAGTTTCAATAAGGTCACCAGATCCCCCTTCCATTCATCCCATTACTTTTCTTAGCTAGTGAATCTTTAATTACATTGATTGTGTACATTTACATATGTACACATGTACATTTAAACATAAAGATGCAGAGTAACTTTGATGCAGACTTTGATGCAACTTTGTCTAAGTGGACAGATCTCTGCTGTCCCCAACTCCAGCATTCACTTAGAGTTACTCATTGTGCTTCCTAGCGTATTCACCTTATAGACTATCAGAGTTGGAAGGGACCTGAGGAGATCATCTAGTCCAACCCCCTGCTCAAAGCAGGCACAATCCCCAATTTTTTTTTGCCCCAGATCCCTAAATGGCCCCCTCAAGGATTGAACTCACAACCCTGGGTTTAGCATGCCAATGCTCAAACCACTGAACTATCCCTTCCCCCTTAAACTGGCTCTGCAGCCCACAGCCCCAAGAACTCACTTGTTTTGGCTGAATTTTGAGCATCTGCTGAAAAATACCCAGCATGGCCAAGAAATCATCCCAGACCCTGAGCTCTAGTAAGTCAGCACCCAGCTCAGGGTGAGGGCTTTGCTATGGCCCATAATTCCCTCCCCACTCCCCAGTGAGTATAAGGGCTCTGCTGACCACCCTAATTCACCTGGACTGAGTGTGAGGGAATTGCTCATATCACCCATCCCCTGACTATGATGTAATATCTGGGGTTTCTCCTTATTCCCCTAGCTGAGGGTGAAGGCACAGTTCATGTTTCCCCATCCGGGCTGAATGCATCTCAGCATCCCCTCTTAGATGAGTGTGAAGACCTTTTCAGAGTCAGCAGAGAAGGGGGTGTATATTTGGGCCCCCTTTCTTTCAGACTCCATGCTGAGAGCATATTTCAGGTTCCCTTGAAGTGTGACGGTGTGTCTCAGTAATTACCCCTCTTTCCTTTCACTAGCTACTATGTGGGCACCTCTCAACTCCTGCAGGAATGGTCTGAGTGTGAGGGTCCATTTCAGGCCCCCTGCCCATCCCACTGGCGAAGATTGGGGTCCCCCGCTAGGTATGAGGGCCTGTCAGATGGGGGACCCAATCTGTCAAGTTGTCAAATATGCTGGCATATCTCATGGGCCCGTACCTGCTTCACTGGACAAGGGGGCTGGTGGATGCTGGGAGGCGTTTTATTCCATACCGGCTGAGGGCTGGATTCATGGAGGACCCTACAAAACACCAGTCAAAGGTGAGGTTGCTTCTCAGGGGGTCTCCACCAGTGTAAGGGCACATCTCAGGCCCCCTTCATACCCAACCTTCTCAACCCCTCCATAACACACCCTCCTCTATCGCTCTTCTCTCTTAGGAAAGAGGTGGAAGGATGGTGGAAACCTGAGCAGCTGTTTAAATAAAAGGATGAGCCTGATCTCAACCTGTAAACAGGAATCCTGCCTAGATTCTAGATTTCTGGGAAAGTTTGGATCTGAACAATGGCCCTTGGGGCCATTTCTGGTTTAAAATGATTGGAGGAAAAAAAACCGTGTGGCTTTGTTTTGTAGAAACAAACTCGGAAGATCCACGTGCCGTCCCATGTCCTGCAGAAGGCGCCCTCCAGCAGCAGCGGGCAGGACTGCAGCTCACCAAACCCTACCACAGGCAGCTCAGCAGAGGCCAGGGTGGCACCTGCCAGCAGCGTGGGAGCTCAGGAGGAGTCTGATGATGGTCACGACTATTTCAATGTCCTGTAATACAAAAGCCACAGCAGCAGGCGCACCGCGGTACAAATGGGGTAGCTGGGTGGGGAGGAGGGAGTTTTGGCTGTGGGGAAGCTTAGCATTCCTGCATCAATTCTTTAGTTGAAACCTTTCTGCTTCCTCCTATTAAGTCCTGTAAAACGGTCTGGAGGTTGGCTGGTCAAGAGAAAGGGTATGTGTGGTGATGGTGGTGGAAGGGAGAAGTACAGAGCACTGTTGTACAGGCACAGGGTGTTTGCACTGGATAAATCAAGAGATTGGGAAGGCCTTTACCTTCTAGGGTTTTGTTCAAAATCCCATCCAGGCTAGTAGCGACAAGAAGTTGTTACTAGCTGAAGGGCTGCATGGAGGTCTCACTCCAGTTTTCTAGGGGTACCAGTGACCACATCACAACTGGGGGAAGAAAACTGGTTCAGTAGAGAAGCAAGGTAATGACTGAGTCATGGATATTGACTTCTCCTCTCATCTCTGGAGATGGTCTCTTGAGCAGGGCTGAAGAACACTAACTGGGGGGCTTTGTGTGGGAATGGTGCCAACCCACCTGCTGCTGCTTGGACTATACCTGATCTGATGGATAGAGGACTTCAGTCTCCAAAGCTGTCAGTGCAGCACCATTCACTAGCAACAGAATTTAGGCATGAAAATGGCTGTGGGGCAGTCAGTTGCCACTCGCTTTGCATATGGGACCTGCTGGATAATGGGAAGCAGCCTTTTGATCCCACAGGACCCTGCTGGTTAATGACATGCCTTGGGGTTGCAATCCTCAGGCTGAGACCCACTGGAATATGTCCCTGGATTGTCAATATGGCCTCGCGGTGCAGATTTGATGAGTTTACCTTGTTTTGAGAAGAGCGCCTCCTGGCTGTAGAATGAGGAAAAAAAATGTCTAGATTTCCATTAAAATGCTCTTTCAACCCCTGCTATGGAAATGATTATCCAATGTATTTCTATGGCCCTCATCTTTTAGCAATGATGTTGCTTTGCCAGGACTGTGGGGATAATTCTCATGCATCCCATTGGAGGAGGATCTCATTTCCAGGCTTATGACAAATGGAAGATATCTTGTCTTGAAGTTTTAGGGCAAAACCAAAAGCCCCAAGGAAGGAGGGGTGTGTGTGTCCCCTAACTTTCACAAGAAGACATCTAAATTAGAATACCTTGTTTATGCATTTGGACTCAATCCAAGTGCAGAACTGGGTGCCCTAAATTAAGCCTCCATATTTGAAAAGTGTGCTCCAGTGGTGAAACTGTGGTTCTGTTGCATCACTGGGAGTTTTGTTGTTAGTTTCAGTGGGACCAGGATTTGGCTAAGGACGTGAAAGAAAAATCAAAACTAGTAATTGAGTTTGGGGAGGAGGGATAGGTTAGGATACGTAGGGCATCTGCCTTCTCAGCTCCTGCTTGACCTTCCTGTGGCATCTCCTGCCTGGCAAGTCTTGTGCTCTGGCTTGAAATCATGTAACTTCCAGCAGCCATTGCTGCCTTTTTACCAATGGAGTCTTGGATTCAAACTTGACTTAGGTCACCAATGAGCAAGTTTGGTGACCTTTGCCTTATCTTCAGAGTAGGTTTATACAAATCACTGAACCAAGATTTTGCAGCTCAGGACTGAAATATAGAAGCTGAATTGTACAGGGGGTGTACAATAGTAAAGATATTGCAGATTAAGACTTAGATGCAGTAGCTGATCTGTAAGGGGTCCCAGGACAGGACTAGCAGGGGGACTGCAGATCAGGATGGAGGGGCATTGGCAGAGCTGTGTGTGAGGAGCCAAGGACTGGAATAGCAAGGGAAGATGCAGGGCAGGTTACTTAGTCTGCTGTTGTAATGGATTTTTAAAATATTATTTGACCAAAAAGCTTCTATTTTTAAGAAGCCTCTTTTTTGGCCATATTTTGTGATATTAAGCTTCCATTCAGTGATTTCTCTGTGTTACAGGGTCCTCTGGAGAAGTTTAGCCCCCGAGTCAAATGTTGCAGTGTAGTCATACAGTGTGTGCGCCAATGTGGTTCTGTCCTATCAACTGCAGGATTGTGTATTTACATGCAACCTTGTATAGTCTAGGAGGAAAATAAACCCACAAAGACACCTGCCAATTTTTTTACTTTTTTTTTTTAATTATTCCTTCATATTCAAACTTCACAAACAGTGTGAACTTGTACAATACCTCAGAAAGTGAAACTTACAAAAAAAGTGCTGGTAACATTAAAAAAAACCCCAAAAAACAAACAAACAAAAAAAAAACAAAAACAAAAAAACAAACATCATTCTTAGCAACATCAATTACTCTTCCACACAAAACAGAAACCTTGTAAAATTTATTTCCGTATTTTTTAAGGCGTAATACTTCCGTATAAAGTATATGCAAGAGATAAAACTTCACAGTATTCCAAAATGTCACAATAATAATAATAATAATAATAATATAGTATAATGAAGCGCTAGTTAATTTTCTTTTTTTTTCCTTTTTTTTTCTGTTTTAAATAACAAATACAAGTCACAGGTAAATATACGTGAGAAAAATACGAGGCTAATATTAAATGGCAGGTAAGGATACTCTCACTGTAAGAAAAACTGGCAGGATGTGTGTATTGATTCTATATTTTAAAGCACTTGATAGAAAAGGCGTATGCAAGGGTTTCTTTAAACAATTTTCTGTTTGCTTGTTTAATAACTGACATACCATTTACAGAGTATAATAAGAGAAACAAAAGGAACTCATAACCCCTCCAAACTTTTGACCTGCTCTTCATATCTTCACAAACCATGTCTCAATGTGTGTGAGTGTATAAAAACACACACAACCACAACAACGCACATTGCTAGAGGCAAAGACCTGTCTCCTGAGAAGCAGCTTTGCCTACTGGGGACCAAATCATGAAGTCTTTATTCTGGCATAACTGCCACTGAAAGCAGGGCGCCGGGGGGGGGGGCGGGGCGGGGGTGAGGGGGTGCTGCCTGCCCAAAGACTGCAGGATTTAGGCCTGAATGCAGTTTCCCATTCACTCAGCTTTGAATGATTATTGGGAATTTCTTTGTTCCCAATAAGGAAATGTCCCCCTCCCTCAGCCATTTATGAATTTTTAACTTTGTCCGCCAAAAAGGGCAGAGACGGGTTAAGAAATTTCCCTCTAAATTCAAACCAATCCAATGAAGAACGGGAACATAGATGGAGCGGCTCTCTCACACACACACACACACACACAGATCTCACAGCAGGGTGTGCGTGCATGTGTGTGCATTTCATAGAAAGGCCTGTGGAATGCACTAGGCGCACACACAGCCATACCCTCGCCCCCGCACATGTGTGTACATGTTAACAGCCAGCCATTCAGCCAACAGGTAACAAAAAGACAGCAGATAGCATAACACATCAATAAGGTGCTCAAAGGAAAAAGGTGGCTACCACTCCTGGAATGGGAAGCCACATTAAGGTGCTTCAACAAGTTTTTTTTTTTTTTTCTTTCTTTTTTTTTCATTTCAGACATTTAAAAAGTACTGATTTGCATGGGCTGATTGAGAGCAAGGCCAAGAGTTTTGAGATCTGACATCTTCCATAAACAAGGGCTTTTTCAGGACAGGGTTCGTTTTTGTGGGAGGAGCATGTATTTTTGTAGATTTCTATTTTTAGTTTTAAAAAAAACAACAACAAGAGACAAAAAAAAAAAAACCCCAAAACAACCCAGCTGAGAATTGGTGTAGCACTTGAATTGCATTATTGGACCGAAAGGGTTTTTGCCCATTCATTCAGTTGCCTTCAGTTAGCACCGTTCCTTTTTATTCTGGTTACAGCCCACACCTACGATAGTTATTGAACGTACAGAAAGAACCAAAGTCACTTGCAAGTAGCTGTTTTCATGTTTTGTGATGTGTTTCAAGAGCCCAACCATAATTCCTCTGCTGCCTTTGTGTTCGTGTAGCATCTGGTTTTGTGAGCTTAACTATAGACAGACTCTCTACTTAAGCTTTGTGTGTCTCGGTGTGTGGCTATGGATACAGGTATGTGTGTACGTATCCATATGTTCTATACATACATACACCACAGAGTGTATTTTAACTGGAGATAAAGTGAACTGGGTTCAGACACTCATGCACTAGCTTCCTCCTGTGTATTTGAAACAGACTGGAGCACTGGTTTTTGTTTTGTTTTTTAAAGTGCATTTAAAGCAAAATAAATGGCATTCATGTACCCCATGGAAAACACTTTTAGTAGTGGAAAAAGCCTGACTCATCTAAACCTCCTTGGACTTAACCATGCCAAAAACAAATGGGGCCATGCATGACAGGCCTCTGGATGGGCAGCTATTCTTGGGCAAACTGGACTCCTGCAGTATAGCAGCACCATTGGTGGGGAGGGTGGGAGGAGAGGTGGAAGAGATATTGCTCAAATTCGGAATGTTTGAAATGTTCCAGATTTCAAGGTGATTGTATTACTCCCACCATGGCTTCAGTTATTTTTGCTCATGACCTCTACCCTTCCTCTGTGTGACCCTAAGGTACACTTGGACTCTTCCCTCAGTTTGTGTTGTTTTTGAGGCCGGATTTGTGTGTGTACGGGAGGGGGGTTTGTGTTTGAGTGCCAGCATCTCTTAGGAATAAGGCACTGTAGAAGTCACAACTTTATGAAAGCTGGGGCTGGGGAGCAACTACCCAGCCAGCCTACCAATCCATTTCCCACGATACTCTCCTCCCCTCATCAAAATATTGCATGTGATACAGGTTAGTCTTGTGCACATTAACTGTTAAATCCAGGTCTTGGAAAAGAGTTTTAACCCAGTCAGCACCAAAGACCTCTAGGAATGCACCATTTGTCTCCACACCACCCAGTATTTGCAATAATGTGGGGAATAAATTCTCTCCCCCCATGCTCTAGAGAACTTGTTCCGCTGCTTGTTCAGTGAAAGCCCCTGGCGGGCCGGCCTCTTTGTTTACCTGCTACATCCGCAGCTCCCAGCGGCAGGGGTTCGCTGCTCCAAGCCAAGGGGAGCTGCTGGAAGTGGCGGCCGGCACGTCCCTCGGCCCACGCCGCTTCCAGCAGCTCCCATTGGCCTGGAGCAGCGAACCGTGGCCACTGGGAGCCGTGATCAGCCGAACCTGCAGACACGGCAGGTAAACAAACCGGCCCGGCCCGCCAGGGGCTTTCCCTGCACCAGCGGCGGAACAAGTTTGGGAACCGCTGCTCTAGAGCTTAACATTCAAGTAGAAATTTCAAGTCCTTGTCCAAGGTTAGCAACTATTTATATTTATGATGTTCCAAATCATTTCATGATGTTGAGAAATTTTTCATATTGTTGTTTGCTATTGTTTAGAACAACACTGTGGGAAATTTGGGTTTAAAATCCCTCTCCTTTCTTGCCACATTCACATTCCAGGTGCAAACGTGTTTGTTATAGGTTTGCTAGAGGAGGGGGATTCTAGCACTAATTCTTAAAACAAACAAACAAAAAAACCCCACTCCTTACAATGCATCCTACCCCCCCGCCATAAAAATGATCCTGACTATATGCAACAATATAATACGTGGGGGAAAGTAGGTCAGAGTTTGGCGCTACTGACTCTGAAAGTCTCCCTTTAAACAGTCTTTCTTTGAACAGTAGCAGTTATGGCTCAGTTTTAATTAAGCCAAAGAGCCATTTTATTTTTCATCTTTGGCCCGGGGACAGCACAGGTGTATTACAATGATTTGATGGGGTTTGTTGACCCTAGGAATACTGCAGTCAGCCCATCAGAAGCTTCATTTGCTCTAGCGGCTGTTATGCCCTTCCACCTCTAAAAGATCCAGAACTATATGAAATCCAAATCAGCCACCTCCCATTGGGTCACCATGATACTCAAGTTGACTAGTAAAGCAGAGAATGCAGTGGAAAGGATGTAAGTAAAGCAAGCAGACAGCAGGGCTCTGGACTTGATTGACTTACAGTAGAGTAAGGGACGCATAAGACTA